CTCTTCTCTCTCTTCCTCCTCCTCCTCCTCCAGCCTTTCTCATTCTCCATCTTCGTAATCTTCCTCCTCCTCCTCCATCTACATCCCGAGTTCCCTCACAGCAGTACAAAAGTTCCTCAGATATTGGCAATTTGGTCGTCGATTTACTCCAAGGTTCAGGACTCAGCCGTCGTGGGTCTGTGATGCTGGTGGGGACTTGTACCCATCTAAGCACCAGTCAAACGGTCCCGGTCCTAACAGACCCCAGTACCTAATGGGCCCCTACTTATCCTAACCATGAATTATGAAGTCATGACCTAACGGGTTCCTGTTCATATTAACTTGATTTATAATGGGACGTAATGTTAATGGTTAGGTTAGGTTAGTGTGATGACCGTCAGTATTGGGGTCAATTTAGAATGGTTCTGTGTGACCTACAACCCGAATGATTGGGTTTCAGAGACATTCGCACGACTCAATAACTGCGAATTTTTACATCTCTTTTGATAACAGAGAGTTACGTGGGTTCTTTTATCTCCAGTTAAAGAGAAAACGAAAGCAAACAAGCCTGTGAGACTCCTCCCCACCCCCGTCCCGGTCTATAGGATCTTACCCTGGTGATTGACGTCATCGTGTGAGACATCGCAGGAAATACCTGTTATTTTTTTAAGCGTTTCAGTGATTGGTGGTGTAGTGTGTGATATAACAGATGCTCCCTCGTCCCTCACCTGTGAGGCACGAGGGAGTCTTCGAATCTTGATGTGTGAGCGTGTGTGTAAATATAAATAATAAAACACTTTGTAAAATAAAAAAATAAAAGATGGAGGGGCGACAGGGAAATACACTATCAACCTACAGTTCAGGGAAAATAATGCCAATTTTTCGTGAACGATCCGTATTGTCCTTTATGAGGTTAAGGTTCTCCTAAACGCATCCACATATATATATATATATATATATATATATATATATATATATATATATATATATATATATATATATATATATATATATATATATATATATATATATATATATATATATATATATATATACGCACACACCTGTTTGCGTGTGTCGACATCAATCGTCGCATGAAAAGTTTCTCCCGTAATTTTGTTTCTTTTCATATTTCAGACCACAAATCCCCAAATTTGCGGTCTTAGTGCAGCTAAATCAAAATGAAAAATACGTGTCCACGAGAGGAAAAGAGTTAAAAAAAAAACATTGCTCCCACTTTTTACGCATCGGTTACCACAAACTCGCAGCGGCCTCAGCGGGTGTTGAGTCAAAATGAAAATACGATTCACTATGAAAATATAACTTTCCATAAACAACAACAACAACAGAAACTCGACATTACGAAATAGTTTGGAGACCTTTTCTTGAAGGAGTACACGGCTAAAGGTGACTGTCTGAGACCTGCAACCTTTAATTCTTACGAGGAGTCTCTCTCTCTCTCTCTCCCCGCAGTACAGCACCATCTGGTCAGCCTTCTTCTTTTACGACAGTCTTTCAACTCTCACATTCTCATCACTGCTTGTTCTTCTCCCCCAACACACGCCACCTGATGCTTGCAAGCATCGCAGTTTTTTCCAGGTTGTGCAGGTGTGGAGGCGTTGTAGGTGCGGAGGCGTTGCAGGTGTGGATGTGTTACAGGTGTGAATGTGGTGTGAATGTGTTGCAGGTGTGGAGGTGCTGCAGGTGTAGAGGTACTGCAGGTGTGGAGGTACTGCAGGTGTGTAGGTGCTGCAGGTGTGGAGTAGATGTGTTTTCTTCTACTCTTTATCCTGTTACGTAATGTATAGTATGTGAGGAGTTATGTAGGAGGAGAGGAGCAAGGGGGGAACGGAGGAGGGGGTAGAGGAGGAGGTGAAGAGAGACTAACGGATGAGAAAAAAGAGGAAGAAAAGCAAATCTATCTCTCTCTCTCTCTCTCTCTCTCTCTCTCTCTCTCTCTCTCTCTCTCTCTCTCTCAAAAAAGTGGTTCAGTAAGTTTGGAACTCTTATAATAGTGTTAAAGAGAAGACACACAAAAATAATAATTTGTATTGACTCTGGTAAGTGTTGAGAGAGTAAGGTCGGACTTCCATAAAAATGAAAGTCAAAGAATTTTTTTTTTTGGGGGGTGGGGGGAGAAAATCTAGTTCCAACACTCTCTTTCTCTATGTTTACGTCTCTTTCTCCTCTGTTCTATTTATTTTGTTTTGCTATCACTTCATTTAGTATATTTCTCTTTCTTTCAATTTCTGTTTGTCTGTTCCTTTCTCCTCCCCCTCTCTCTCTCTATCTATCTATGTTTTACCCCTTCCTTTCTTTCTCTCACTCACTTTAATCTCTTCCTTTCTTTAAATCTCCATCTTTCTCGTTCCCTTTTTTTTATTTTATATCTTTCACTTTCTGTTTCGATTTCCCTTTATCTTCACTCTTTCCTTTCCCTTCGTTCTCTCTTTTTCTCTCTGTCACTTTCGATTTATTTCTTCATCCCTTTACCCTTTCCCCTTTCTTCCTCTCTCTCTCTCTCTCTCTTACCCTTTTTATTTCTTCCTGTTTTCGTCCCTCCCTCACTCACTTTTTACTCTTTCTTTCGTTTTCCACTTTCTATTTAGTTATCTCTCTCTCTCTCTCTCTCCCTTTACATCTCTCTCTTTCCTCCCCTCCTCCACTACGTTTTCTTTCTCCTACTTTCGCTTTCCTTTCACCACCCATTTCTCTTTCTTCATCAATCTTTTCTCTCTCTCTCTCTCTCTCTCTCTCTCTCTCTCTCTCTCTCTCTCTCTCTCAGTAACTAAGGAAATATTGCCAATGTAAAGAAACATCATAATATCTCTAAGGGTTCCCTGGCGCGGGTGTTACATTTTTACGGCGTTCACAAACATGAAGTGATGTGGCTTTTAAAAGTGTGCCGAGCCTTTAAGACCAGCGGGCCTTCCTCATGATACCTCCCGGAAGAGTATGGTCGTATCTCTCTCTCTCTCTCTCTCTCTCTCTCTCTCTCTCTCTCTCTCTCTCTCTCTCTCCATTACCAGGACCTTGAGAGATATAAATCACCTCCAAACTTCAACACCGGAGTCAGGGAGTCATATTCCTCTCTCATTCCAACTACTTAAACAACCTTGTACTCGAGATCCAGAGCTGCATCAAGGACGAGCTGAAACCCCCCAGTACTCTTGATCAGAGATGTGTTATATTCCTTATCCTTGAACCTCATATGGAAGGAGAGTTTTACCGGGGATGTGTCAAGATCCTATTTCTCTAGTTGCATATACTGAGGCTAGACAGCTTGATTAGGGATGTGCCACAGCTTTAATTATTCGCTGGATGGAATATTTAAGGTGTGTGTGTGTGTGTGTGTGTGACAAGTGACTAAAGTAAACAGTATTCTACAACAAGTAAAACAACCCTAAGTACACCAACAATAACACAGTCTAAAAACAAATATGATTATACATTACTAATATGTAAATGGACTTGAGCTTAAAATAACCCTGATATAATTCACCCCCATAGAGCAGGTAAGTGAAATTGAGTTTGGAGAGCAATTTGCATATAAGAAGTTGGTGCACAAAAGTCATCTTATGGCTAATGGACTCTGTAATACCATCATGAGGGAGTGCGTATGGGGTGAAGTCCCTCAGCACCTTCACAAAGAAGACGAGTTCTCATTCACGTCACAGTCATCTTCAAGAGTTTTCAAGTGTGTTGCTAAAAACTCGCGAGAGATTTTTTACGACACTCTGGGGAATTTTTCCATCAAGTTTGTCACTCTTGTACAGCCTGGCAATCTTCTGGTGACGAGTGTGTGTGTGTGTGTGTGTGTGTGTGTGTGTGTGTGTGTGTGTGTGTGTGTGTGTGTGTGTGTGTGTGTGTGTGTGTGTGTGTGTGTGTGTGTTCTAGGGGAGGGGGGACTAGGAGGATGAGGGTTGAGGGAGGAAGCGAGAAGTGTGTGGATAAGGAGAGGTGAAGGTGAGGGAAGAAGTGAAGAGTGGGGAGAAGAGAGGTGTGAGGGAAAGGAACAGTTGAAGATGGGAGTAGAGTGGTGAGGGGAAGGAGGAGATGAGGGGAAGAAGGAAGTGAGGCGAAGATGGAGGCAAGAAAGCTTTTTTTTTTACAGATTTCATTAGTAACACGACCATTAAAATTATATATATATATATATATATATATATATATATATATATATATATATATATATATATATATATATATATATATATATATATATATATATATATATATATATATATATATATATATATATATATATATATATATATATATATATATATATATATATATATATATGTATTTCACGTAGATCCACAAGGAAAACGTGGATAAGATAAATCTTGATAAAATCACACGGGAAAAGGGAAACAACGGAGCACCTTAGCTTTCGTCTTTATTCAAGACATCTTCAGAGGCAACTCTCTGTCCATGTAATCCAGTTGCCTCTGAAGACGTCTTGAATAAAGAAGCTAACGTAATATATATATATATATATATATATATATATATATATATATATATATATATATATATATATATATATATATATATATTAACTTCTTCCTTAATAACTACGAAAAACAAGCGCGCAAAAATATGTTAAAATCACAATCGTGGTTTCAGACCACGGGATTTCGATCAAAGTTGAGTTTTTCGTAACTTTATTCAAAAGAGGAAAACTTGGGGAACTTGGTGCCAGTGTGTGAAGGTGTCAGGAGTTGATTCAGAAGTTAGGTAAGTTTGTGTGTCACTGGTGAGAGGTGTGGCGGGCGAGAGCTGTGAGTGGAGTTAGGTGTTGACTTTTTCTTTGAAGTTTATTATTATTATTATTATTATTATTATTATTATTATTATTATTATTATTATTATTATTATTATTATTATTATTATTATTATTATTATTATTATTATTATTATTATTATTATTATTATTATTATAGCTTCGTCTCTCACCCCCTCCTCTTCCATTATTCTTGATTATTCATGCCGCCTCCTTTTTCTTCCTCACTTAGACGGGAAGACTTTCGAGGTGTTGGATCTGACCAGCAGCGGCATCGAGTCAGTGGAGGAGGGGGCCTTCGACGGCTGCCAGGAGCGTCTTAATCTGCTGAGACTTACCACTAACCATCTCAAGGTCTTCCCCTTCAAGGATCTGCCTCTGTACCCTAGGCTCGAGGTATGGAGAGAGAGAGAGAGCATTTCTAACACATTCCTTAAGTCATCCAAATCATCAGCTTCTCCTCTCAGTATAATGTACCTTGGGTTCCTCTTTACCAATATGAGTTATTATTACTATGGGCGAATGTAACTAATAAGAAAATGTTATATATTTTTACTGTAACTTAAGAACACCCAATTTATTACTATTCCTGGGCTAAGACCATTTCTGTAAACATCCCATGAGGAAAATAAGTTATTGTCAAGAGGAGGAGGTTGTCATTAAAGATGGGTTTTGTGCATGTTTTATCTTATACAAGACCAGATAACACACAACTGTATTAATAAGCATAAAATATAAATGCAACACTCGCCAAGAATCATAAGCGATGATCTCCCCACACACACCTCGTTCCGTATTGTTCTCAGTTGTTAAGTATAGTTGATACATCTGAATCATTATTGAGTGTTTTGCTATAATATCTAGACATGTTTATCGCCCCAGAGACACACAAGGAAGACAATAATCAGCGTCTCTGAGAGATTGATTAATATGCTTGTGAAATTTTAAAATAAAATTAAATAAAATGCTAACGGTGAAATTAGAGTTCAAAATATTTCCGTATTACAAAAATATATGATAAAACGGAAGTGAAAAAGTTTATTTTAAATTTGTTTGATTTCGAGGACTGTGGTTTGTGATAGAATAAAAGAGAAAAAACTTTTCCATTAAATGGACTTACTTTCTTTTCGGTAAAAAATCGTAAACCGGCCTTTTTTTAGTTACATCGATAATGGCGCGACGTATCGACACTCAAAAATACCGGAGCTGAAATGTTTACAAGCCAAAATCTATGTATCTGACAACTTTGATTAAAAAATAGATTTAAAAAAGTTACCGAGAGAAAAGTTCTTTTTTTCCTCCTAAATCATAAATTAAAAGATCATTTATCTTTCCTATTCTGAGTGAAAAAACAACCTAGGAACTTTATCTTCATGGTAAACAGTTTCCTTGTAATTCAGTTTACAAATTAATAAATTACACTGGATTTTGATCAAGTGTTTCATTGTATTAACGAATTATCGGAGGTTCAGAGGTTGCTAGATGGTATTTTCTGAGCCCATGTATGCAGAGGCAACTTTAATAGTGTGTATATGTGTGTACAGGAGATGTACACATATAGACACACTATTAACGCTTCATACAAATAAAGGCTAAAAAACATCACACCTTTATATATATATATATATATATATATATATATATATATATATATATATATATATATATATATATATATATATATATATATATATATATATATATATATATATATATAGACAACCTTCTCGTGTGGTGCTCCTCCAAGTGTCACGGTGTGGAGTAATCGTCTCCCAGGTGAGGGGGTCGATTTGGCACTTTTTGGCTCTTTAGTTGCCCGCCAGCACTGCGTTTACTATTCGTTAGGTGACTGTAATGTAGCTGCTTTGGCAGTCTACTGTTGTCCATGCGGGTAACATGGCCAGTACAGCGTAGTTGCTCATGGAAAATGGTAGCCTCGATGCTTCTACAGTTGGTGTCAGCAAGAATACTGGTATTTGTTCTCTTGTCTTCCCAGCGAACTTGGAGGATAGAACGTGGACTAAGTTGGTGAAAGTTTTCAAGTGCCTTGGGGTGCCTCCTGAATGTGACCCATGTCGCACTGTCATATAGCAGGGTGGGCAGGACCACTGCTCGATATACGTGCAGCTTTGTGGATAATTTCAGCTCCCTACAGCTGAAGACACGATTTTCGGAGTCCGTGCAAGGCTTGAGATGCACATCTGATCCGATGCTGCATCTCTTCATCGATGTCTGCGGTGGTGGACAGGTGGGAGCCGAGATACCGAAAGTGGGCAACATTAGAGAGGGTAGTACCGTTAAGTTGGATGGATGGCGGAGGTGTGGCTGAAGGGGCAGGCTGAAAGAGAATCTGAGTCTTACGTACATTCATCTTAAGGCCGAACTGTGCATACTCATCTGCGTAGGTGTTCAGGATCTCCTGTAGGTCGCGTTCAGTGTGAGCGACAAGGGTGAGGTCGTCTGCATACTGAAGTTCAGTGATGAAAGCTGCCGACACCTTTGTTCTTGCCTGGAGTTGTCTTATGTTGAAAAGACCCTTCATCAAGTACCGGATGTCCACCCTGCCGGCTAAATTTGCTCTGGCACGTGTAAGGAAGGCAGCCAAGGAAATGGAAAAGAGAGTTGGTGCCAGTACACACTCTTGTTTAACCCCCGTTTGGATGGGAAGAACTCAGATTGGGTGCCATTGTGCCGGACACTGCCGTTCATGCCATCGTGGAGTTGCCCCACAATGGCCATGAATTTTGGTGGGCAGCCAAAACGGCTGAGGGTCCACCAGAGGGCTTCCCTGTTGACTGAGTCGAAGACCTTCGTTAGGTCGATGAAAGCCATGTACAGGTCACGACGCTGTTCTCTGCACTTTTCCTGTATCAGACGGGCAGCAAAGATCATGTCAGTGGTGCCACTTGATGGTCTAAAGCCACATTGAGATTCTGGGAGGAAGTTTTCCGCCTCAGGAAGAAGTCTGTTTAGGAGGACTGGGGGCGATAATATTGCCAGCTACGGACAGCATCGAAATCCCGCGGTAGTTGCCACAGTCTGACCACACACACACACACACACACACAGGAATTAAAGGTCAAGGAACACAAAAACAATATTTACGACGATAATTTGCACGACATTAATGAAACTTTGACCTCAGGTCAGCGTTGAGTGTCATGGGGGTCTTGTAAAAACCTTTCGGCAGAGAACATTCAATTTAGCGGTTCATAAGGACCAGAGCTCGATGGTCCGGTCTGCTAGTGTCTACGATAACCAATTTTAACTTATGACCACTGTTAGTGTTTAGCTTGTGTAGCTGTTTAAGTCTCAGTTACTGTTAACGTAAAGTAATTTTATTTTATGAGTCTTCCTAAGTATCTATGCAAGTACTGTTTTCGTGTTTGAGATTTGTAAGTGTCAAGGTTAAGCAGATTTCGCTTATTCATTTTGTAAATAACAAGTTTAAGTAACCTTTATATACTTCTTCATATGGTCAAGCTAAGAAACTACCACAGCCAATCTGTCATCAAGGAAAAACTGTTACACCTGTATTGAATAATTAATCAAAGGTAAGCTTGACTCCATATACCTGGATGAAAAAACCGAAATTCGGCAGACGTGATTCTAGACGGCTGCACTAGGGGGAAACTCCGTCCCTTCTCTAGCATTTTTATTCCCTATTAACTTAGCCAAAGAGGTCATATAATCCCTGCCCAATTACATTTCCCCATTCTGCCCTACCAGATGCCTCCTCTCTCACCACCTCTTTTCCCTAACACTGACGCCAATTCCCCCCACCTTATCTCCCCATCCGCTAGTCCCCAGACCTCATCTCCCCCATTCTTCCCTTCACCATCAGAAGCTTCTATCCCCATCCCCATCTCTAACATCAAATGGACCTTGAGTTGCCTGACGATAATTGCATCTGCAGAAGGCCCTCCCCCATCATCTACCTCCCATCCTATACACTATTCCTCCATCCATCCCGCCTTTAAGCCCCCCATCCTGTCCATCATGTCCCCCATCATGGACCTGTCTACACCCATCATTGACTAGTGTACCCTTTCAGACACTCGCCTTGGGGGGTAACGAGCTAGAGAGCCTTGAGGAGCTGGTGGGTCTACCTGAGCTGCCCCTCAAGGTCCTGTACCTGGGCAACAATCGCATTTCTGAGCTACACCCTGAAAACTTTCTCTCAGGTGAGTCAACACAAGACAACAACAATAATAATAATAATAATAATAATAATAATAATAATAATAATAATAATAATAATAATAATAATAATAATAATAATAATAATAATGTTTATATTAATAAAACATAAATGTAGTAGTAATAACAACAACAACAATAATAATAATAATAAAATAATTATTTATGACAATTAGAGAAATTAGGACAACAATAATATTAATGTTAATCATTATTTAATATATCGATGAGATAGTTGAGTGAGAATGAGTAGGGACCCGTCGAGGGAAGAACGGAATATCCGACGTCCTCCCTCGATGGCTCTCAATAACGTCTTCCTCTAGTCAGGGTTATCAAACTACTGCCCGCAATTGGTGGCCAGAGAGCCGCTTACTTAATGCTTAACTCTGCACTAAGTGATGTGACTTCCCGTGGACACACCTTATCACGTGCTCTGAACATGCTACCTCATAGCTAGTGGAAAGTTACAGGGGGTGATGGTTATACAAGTCTAATGTAATTAACCCAGTTATACTTTTGCCTATAAGACAGGGGCTAATACAACTATCTGACTCACTTACTCATTGACTCACTTTCACACTGACTCACTTACTCATTAATATATGCATTTATTCATTTTGTAACTCATGAGGCTAATGTATTCAGTAATTCTTATTTATTTAAAAAAATGACTAATTCACTTTAGCGCGTACTCATTCACTATCTTATTCAGTCACACACACATACTCACACGATAATTTACTCATCCACTCATACTTTTATTCATTAACACACTCACACTCTCACTCACACACCCCCTCGCCCACTCACTCACTCACTCACTCACTCACTCCATAAACTTCTAAGTCAAGCATAATAATTTCAATTCTGCGTTAACGACACCATAATTAATTAGCAGTATTTAATGAGCCAATTAGTAACACCTGTCTCAACCAAAGGTAAACCGGTTATTAGTAAGAAGTTCCTCAGTATGCTTTACAGATTAAATAATGTACCTTTGTTTATTAATCCACAAAATGACTGTTTAAAATGATAATTAATTATTATCAATGTATTTAACGAGCTAACGGTAATTATTTATATCTCTATTTAACAAGCAATTAATTACCTCTCTATTTAAACAACTAATTATCTTATGCTTCAGTTGTAAATAAAAAACAAAAATATTATTAAAACACTGTACCATAATTGATCTTTAATGTACTCGATGTGTTTTTTTTTTATCTGTCATTCAATAAAAAAAAAATACTGGGATTAAACTAACATCTTTTTGGTTATCGTATATTATTAAACATTTCACAATTATTGGCTGTGATAATTGATAGCCCAGGTACAATAGAAACGTCCCGAATATCGATGTGCCAATTACAGAGGGATTATACAAATGGGACCAGAAAAGACTTTGATTTAGTATCGAATTCTGAATTATTGACGTTACCCAAACACGAATCTGACAACAAGAACAACCAATACAGTTTCAAAATCAATTTAGGATCAATTAGAGAGGATTTGTCTTCTATACTATTTTAGTGAGTTTATTTAAGTAATCTAGAATTCAAGCTAAATTATTTATAAAAAAAATATATTGTATCAAAATCCGCGTAAAATTGTGTGCTGACGGTGTGTGTATGAAGGGATGGAGGTGATGTGTGTGTGTGTGTGTGTGTGTGTGTGTGTGTGTGTGTGTGTGTACTGTCTGAGATGAGAGGGTTAAAATATAGAGAGAGAGAGAGAGAGAGAGAGAGAGAGATTTTAACTTTGAGAAATTTTATGGATCTCTACTCTACACACCTCTGTCTGTCCATTCAGCCATTCATCTGTCAGTAGGTTTGTCTGGGAATCCATCCATAAAACTGTCTTTGCAGTTTACGAACATAATGAAGACTTCACGAATCATAAGTATTTTAACGAGAATGATTTCGATGGTCAGCGTTTGACCCAGTTTGACCTCAGCCCGACTATTAAATTTGACATAAACACTTTCAAAACAGTACAGTGGTTATAGAGAATACATAACAACTGGCCAATAAACGAACAGAACCTCCTTAACCTGAACCATTTATGATACGTCAAGTGAACACAAGATCTATAATGACTGTGATATTACTGCTGTGGCTCCGTGTATAATTAGCGTATTATATATTACCTATAATTAGTAATATGATTAACCTTCTAATTAATGTCGTGGTGGCGCTATACGGTATTCGGCACTCGGCATGTCTTCATCACCATCTCCAAGTAGCTCTACACTTCACAATCCAAACACAGATTAACACAATATGACTAACGTACACACACTACAACATTCCAACATCTTGGATTAACTTGTACTCTACCTAGTGCCACACTTGAGCATCCTGGAACTGAACTTGTACTCTATCTCCCCCTCCTACCACAGTGCCACATCTGAGCATCCTGGAACTGAACTTGTACTCTATCTCCCCCTCCTACCACAGTGCCACATCTGGGCATCCTGGAACTGAACGGGAATAACTTGACCAGCATCCCGCCAAAGGTTTTCATGCCTTTAGTGCAGTTGGAGTCACTCTATCTCTACAAGAACCATATCAAGGTGAGGGAAACTCTGTATCTCTATGGACAGGTGACCAGGAGAGGTACTATGCCTTTATGAACAGGTGAACAGAGAAGTACTATGTTTCTATGGACAGGTAAACAAGAGATGTATAATGCCTCTATAGACAGGTGAACAGATTAGGTCAGGTTAGACTCAGTTGGTCCAGTGGGAAAGTACTCCTGGTGCTGTGGATATTAAACAGGACCTGATATAGAGTGGTGGTGCGTGTTGCGTCACTACGGCATAAAGTTTACATACGTTAATGAGCCGCCGGTTATGCATAATTCTAGCTCATATTAGCATAACAGCGAGCGTAATTTTGTTTCCTAATGGTGGACTCGCTAAACTTTGTAAAAAAAAAAAAAATAAAACACCAGTAGGAATCGCTCACACAACTTTACGACAGTGAGTCAGGTATAGAACTGCTGTCGCATCTATGAAGAATGTTGTTATTTTGTTTTGGTTTACCTAGAAGCTATGAGGCCTAATGGTGTGAATACGTCAGGCGTCATCCGTGGGTCTGTGTGTGGGTTCATAAGGTCTGTGTGTTTTAGGTTTTGTCTACTGAGTTGTGAATTTTTTTACAAGTTTGTGAGTCCTTCTGTAGGTCTGTTTGAGGGTTCGTGGGGCAGGCTGTAGGTCTGCAGGTCAGTTGGTCCGTCTGCTGTTTGTGTTTTGTGTGTGGGGGGGTGGGGGGGAGTAAAAGCCTCGACCAGGTTAACTCCTCAGTAATGCCAGGCTTGAGGTCCATTGCTAAAATTTCCAGAGTCGGGCACACACATTTACGAGTGAGTCAGGGGGCCTTAGAAGGTTACAACTGCCGACAAATCTCCATAACTTCTGACCGTTCACAACAGTACAGTAAAATATAACTCTGGAAGACTATTTATCTCAGTTTCAACTACATTATTGTCAAGGTGGGAATAATACTTGGAAGAAATATAAAGTCAATTCTTAACATGATAAATATTACCAAGTTTTAACCTTAATAACATATCAGTTACCTTCTTCGTATCCACACGTACTGTACTCTACCTGTACTTCCACACGTACTGTACTCTACCTGTACTTCCACACGTACTGTACTCTACCTGTACTTCCACACGTACTGTACTCTACCTGTACTTCCACACGTACTGTACTCTACCTGTTTTACCACACGTACCGTACTCTACCTGTACTTCCACACGTACTGTACTCTACCTGTACTTCCACACGTACTGTACTCTACCTGTTCTACCACACGTACTGTACTCTACCTGTACTTTCTCAATAAAATTCGACAACATTTAATATGGAATTTTTGGGAGAGTCAGTTTTAGCGCCACGAATTAATGTTTACGAACGTAACACAACCTTTGAGACTACTGGTGTACTGACGTGTGTGGGTCTATGGGTCCTGTCTGTGGGTCTATGGGTCCTGTCTGTAGGTCTATGGGTCCTGTCTGTGGGTCTATGGGTAATGTCTGTAGGTCTATGGGTCCTGTCTGTAGGTATATGGGTCCTGTCTGTGGGTCTATCCATAGGTACTGTCTGTGGGTCTATGGGTCCTGTCTGTGGGTCTATGGGTCCTGTCTGTAGGTCTATGGGTCCTGTCTGTGGGTCTATCCATGGGTATCTGTAGTCTATGGGTCCTGTCTGTAGGTCTATGGCTGTCTGTGGGTCTATCCATGGGTACTGTCTGTGGGTCTATGGGTCCTGTCTGTGGGTCTATCTGTGGGTCCTGTCCGTTGGCGTCCACTAGGCCATCAGAGGACACAGTAACTCGTGTCAGTGACCAGATTTAAGCAAAGGACATACAGACATACAGACACGCGCGGAAGATTAACGTGTGCAGAGGCCACAGTAGAATTTAATTTCGGCTGTACATGAGTTACAAGCACCAATCAGTACAAAGTAATTTAAAGGCAATTAGCAATTAGTAATTCGATAGTAATTAGGGAGTGTGTGGGGGGTTGTTAAGTGGTTAAGTGTATGTGTACTGACGCTGTCCTCTGTTGTTAGATGGTGAAATGATGGTTCAGGTAATATAATTCTTCGTGTGTGTGTGTGTGTGTGTGTGTGTGTGTGTGTGTGTGTGTGTGTGTAAAGAGAGAGGCAGGGACGTGTACATAGAATTAAAGTGAAAAGCAATAAGAGGGAAATATACAAGCATTGAGGAACCAAGAGAAGAGAAAGAAAAAAAGAGAAATGAAGAGCGAAAGACGAAATGAATGACACAAATAAATGGATAAAACACACACACACACACACACACACACACACACACACACACACACAGGAGCAAAACCAAAGTAAAAAAATTATCCTCAACCCACTACAAAATCCCAACCTACTTTACCTACAGCAACACCTACAGAAAAAAAAATCCTGTTATCACAATACAAAGTGAACTCCCGCTACAGGAACCAACAAATGTAGAAACTCCTTTGTAATTGGAATTCTTAGCGGCAGCTCAATTAAAGCAGGAACCTGTTTAATTAAGTTGCCAATGGCCACCACGGTGCTTGGTATTCGGGGGTAGAATAGTGTATCCACCTGGAGTAGTGGGGCGGGGTTAATGAGTAAAGTTAGGGTGGTAGTGGTGGGGAGGGGGTAATGGTGGTGATGGTGGTAGGGAGAGGGTAATGACGGTAGTTGTGGTGGTGATGGTTGTAGGGAGGGGGTAATGGTGGTGATGGTAGTAGTGGTGGTGATTGTGGTGGGGAGGGGGTTATGGTGGTGATAGTGGTGGTGATGGTGGAGGTAAGGGGGTAATGGCGCTGATAATGGTGGCGACGATGGTGGTTGAGGTGGTGCTTGTGGCGTGAATTGTGGTGATGCTGGTAAAGGAGATCAATAATTGTGGTGTTTATATCGTGTATTTTGGTAACGGTGAAGTGGTCGTTAGTGTTATCGTTGAGATGTTGGTGATGTGTTGGTGATACTGTTGTCAATGTCAGTGGTAGTAATACTAGTATTCTCAAGGTAGATGTTGGGGGCAGTGTTTACGATAGTCAGTAGTAGTAGTAGTAGTAGTAGTAGTAGTAGACATATTAACAATGCCAATAATAGTATTAACAATAGTATCAATAATAGTATTAATAGTTTTATCAACAATATTCATTAGTGGTCCAAACAGTATTACCAATATCAGTATAGTAATCCTTGTGGTCCCAAGAGATGTGGTCCAGTGTGGTCCTGCCTCAGAAATCGTGCTGGATTACCCCGGGCGGTCGCATAACCTCGCATTTTTAGTAATTAAATTAATAATAGTTGTGTAACGAGGCCCAGCAGAAGGACGTCAGGCGCCATGCAGGAGCAGAAAGTTGGGAGGGACTCAGCGGGCAGGAAAGGCTAGTTACAGGTGCTGTGTGTGTGTGTGTGTGTGTGTGTGTGTGTATGTGTGTGTGTGTGTGTGCGTGCGTGCAAAAGACATCTACCCAGTGGAAATCCTTTCCAACCGTATCTCTATTTTTCTCTTCCCTTTCCTCCTCCTCCTCTATCTGACTCTCTCTTTTCCACTGGTCAAAAGCCACGTCTGATATATCTTCTGCCAGGTATCTCCCTCCTGGACCACTTTCCACCCTTCAGCTCTCAATTGGACGGCGCCTCACCTCACCAATCAATTCCTGGTCAGAGGAGTTCTCGTGTACAGACCTCCACCAGGGTGATCTGTAGCTACCAGGAACTAGTCAACACTACCACCTGCTACCCCGGCTGCAGTCCTAATAGACAGAAGACCTAAAATAGCCATCCTAGATTACCTTTTTCTAACCTGTCATAACTATTAGAATTTAGGCCCATTCAATTTTAGGTCCATGGGATTTGGAGCCCATAATGCTTCGTGCTTAAAAGGAATAAACCCCAAACCTAATGGTTACCTTAAGTTAGCTGTGGAGCTATTAGGACTGAGGCCCAATAAGATTAGGCCTATTAGAACTGAAACCCTTTAGTATTGAGAACCCATTAGTACTTGACCCATTTAGAACTGAAACCAATAGAGCCCATTAAGATTGGGGATCTTAAGGACTGGTGATAGTTAGGAGAGTGAACCATTAAGTATGGGACAATTAAGGACAAAGGTCCAATAGGACTGGGCCCGTTTGACCAGTTACGGCCCCTCCCCTTTACAACTTCTACCTGAACAGTTGTGAAGTGCTCTTGTTCAGATGGAAGACAGTGATCCATTCAACACCTCCCCTGCACACCATCCTACCATGGACGACTACTGTTTGATGGCACACTTCCTTAGATGTCGGCACACACACACACACACACACACACACACACACACACACACACACACACACACACACACACACAGAGAGAGAGACCCAATTTTTACACAGGACAGGTCATTTTATCAAGAAATAAACAGAACGTAAATAATTTCCACAGTCATATGTTGATTGATTAATCAATTAAGCTGTAAGTTAATTTACATGATTAAATAATTCATTTCTCTTTTCTATTTGTTTAGTTTCTAGCTGTTGCATTTTATTTGTATATAAATTCATTCATTAAGAGCTCCTGTGTGTGTGTGTGTGTGTGTGTGTGTGTGTGTGTGTGTGTGTGTGTGTGTGTGTGTGTGTGTGTGTGTGTGTGTTTTGGATGTTTATTCCCTCAGTATTAACTCATTATAAACTTCTCATCACCTGGAGAAGAAGTAATCTTTCCTTTTCATTCATCAAATTAAACAAGAAAATTCCTAAAATACGAAATACTCGCGTTAGTGTTAAAAGCACCAGGCTGGGTTAAAAGCCGCACCGAAAGCCGTATCACCAGCACCAAACACACCTTCCTGACTCAGCCTAACGACTAACAACATTACGGTCATTATCCAACATCTAATAGCTAGCCAATCAGCGATCATATCTAACCAGCTTAGTCTTTGAACAATTCAGACGCCATTTTAACGTAATCTTCCATGTTATAGATTAAATAAGTACGATTAATGGGTGTTCTTATATCTTTAGGTAGTGAGGGAAAATATAAATGTGTGTGGGTTTTTTTTTTGTAAATTCCGGGAGCAGGTTGTTAGCAGGAGAGGGCCAGAGTGCCACCCGAATAGTGTCAGCTTCAGCGACTCTATTGCTAGTTTTGTGGGTGTAAGAGCAGTCACCAGATTGGCCAAGTGAAGCCTGCTGTGGTACCATTGTGTGTGTGTGTGTGTGTGTGTGTGTGTGTGTGTGTGTGTGTGTGTGTGTGTGTGTGTGTGTGCTGCTGAGGTACCATTGTGTGTAACTGTACTGATGTATTGTATTATTATGTATGTATGTGTATGCTGTGGTACCATTGTGTATGTACTGTATGTGTCCAGATGGAGGTAGGCCTAAGTTATTTATTCACGGCTGATTTTTTACGTGAAATCAAAAACCATATTTTGGTTTTTGATTCAGTACTTGCCAAATTGATCGGGTAACTCCAATATGGCGCGGCTGTGGCTCTCAATAGGGGTACTTGCCTCTTAATGGCCGCATATTATGTAAATTTGAGTCCTAAATCTGTTTTATTGTGTGTGTGCGTGTGTGTGTGTGTGTGTGTGTGTGTGTGTGTGTGTGTGTGTGTGTGTGTGTCCCATGAGCGTATGAACGCTCGTTTCCTTGTGAACTCGAGGGGAAAAAACTCGAATCTGAATTTTCACAGTATTTTTGATCAACGAATATCCTGACTGGGCAAGACTTTTTCTGTTGGGGTTTTTAAAGGGAACGTTAAGACCAGATGCGATGGTGCATATTGAACCAGGCCCCTTGAGACTCTCTTATTTTGTTTACTAGAGGACAATATCATAACAGAGAACTAAAAACACAACAACATATTCTTACGACTTAGATATAGACTAAAGTGCCATTCCCGCCACACGTGAACTTCCCCCAGGCCTTCCTTTTATGGGAAATATTTAATAAAAGATGAGGTCTATGATATTGGCTTATACAGTCTTTACACGTCGACAATATCCAACACAGAAACATGAATATATTTCGAGTTCATAGTAACATCATGGGGGTAATATCTCCACTACCTGATCTCATGAATACACTATTGAGAAATCTTCTGAGTGAAGTGAAAATTTTTGCATTTACCTCCGCTTGATATTCCGTCATGAATATACAGTCATCATTTACAATTCATTGCCACGAACCATGAATATATTTTGAGGGGTAAAAGCTGCGGGAACCTAAGCTGATAACATTATTCTAATATGGTGACGGTTTGGGGTGGGGGGGGACCACAGCCTGCGCTCAGTCTGCGGTGATCTGTATTGATCGTATACAGTCTTGGGTGTTTGAGCTTGTTCATCCACAGTAGATATGCACACATACTCAAACACAAATACAGACACATAAATACACACACACACACACACCATCCTCGTCATCGCCACCTCCTGCCACCTGCAGTCCCCCGCCCACCTCGCGCAGTCCGCCACTTCAACAAAATTCAGCCCATAAGAGCCCGCACCGATAGATATAAGAATAGCACCATCCCATCTATTGTTAAAATAATAAACAACTCCTGATTTATGTACTGTACAGCCCTGTAAATGTATTCAATGCATAACATATCATTATGTCTAAATCAAATGTAAGTCTGAATATTTTCAGCCACCGGCTGCAACTCTATTAATAAACAGTATATTATTATTATTATTATTATTGTTATTATTATTATTACATATATTTATCTAGATAAGTACACACTCCATCTCAACTTGATTTTTAAACTACTATTTAAAACGTGCCATTGAATCTCTCTCTCTCTCTCTCTCTCTCTCTCTCTCTCTCTCTCTCTCTCTCTCTCTCTCTCTCTCTCTCTCTCTCTCTCCTCAGCGTGAGTGTAATGTTTATCCTCCTCAAGGGACCAACCAGTCCTGCCTGTCACCCACCTGGCTGTGACGTTGGGAGGAGAACTATATCATCCTGTGCCTCACCTGCGAGACTGTCGGGGTGACAAGCATTAAAACGGTGTGTGTGTTGGGGGAAGAGTCACTGCTGCTATGTTAAGCCCTAGCTGTAACCTAGTTATTCTCTAACCATACAAGTTATCGTCTAGCAGTGAACAGGCCATCGTTTAGCCATGAACTAGCGGGCGTCTAGCCATGATAAGCTACCGTCTAGTCATCAGGTAGCCAATGTTTGACCATAGTCTAGCCATCATTTAACCATTACCCTAGACGTAACATATATTGTGAACAGAAGCGGCTTAAGTCTGCTATGTGAGGGTAATGGTATCCAGGTCATTGTGTATTAGAGTCAGCTTTCTATAGTCCACAGAATTCTTGGCTCAGACGAACACTTTGAAATATATCTTTATGTTGTTTGAGAACTAGATTCGTGGACGGAAGTATTAATTTGGTATTGTTTATTATCATAATAATAATAATAATAATAATAATAATAATAATAATAATAATAATAATAATAATAATAATAATAATAATAATAATAATAATAATAATAATAATAATAATAATAATAATAATAATAACAACAACAATAATAACAAATCAAGCAGACAACATTGACAGTCTTTGTAGCGACGTACAAAAAAAAGAATACTTAAAACAAACCAAGTATTGAGGAAGACAAACACAGACAAAGGTTTAAAAGAGGAGCACAGTAAACAGACAGCTATATACCCCCGCCCCAGCATAAGGCTCCACTTTGATCTGGAGTGTGTGGTGGGGGAGACAAAAGGCTGGAGGTCTAGCTGCTCTGTTTGTCTGTCTGTCTTTAAATGTCTCTTTCTAGTTTACCTCTCTCTCTCTCTCTCTCTCTCTCTCTCTCTCTCTCTCTCTCTCTCTCTCTCTCTCTCTTTGTCTTTCATTCTCTCCGTAATCTCTCTCTCTCTCTCTCTCTCTCTCTCTCTCTCTCTCTCTCTCTCTCTCTCTCTCTCTCTCTGTCTTTCATTCTCTCCGTAATCTCTCTCTCTCTCTCTCTCTCTCTCTCTCTCTCTCTCTCTCTCTCTCTCTCTCTCTCTCTCTCTCTCTCTCTCTTTGTCTTTCATTCTCTCCATAATCTCTCTCTCTCTCTCTCTCTCTCTCTCTCTCTCTCTCTCTCTCTCCTCTCTCTCTCTCTCTCTCTCTCTCTCTCTCTCTCTCTCTCTCTTTGTCTTTCATTCTCTCCGTAATCTCTCTCTCTCTCTCTCTCTTTGCCTATCTCTGTTTCTCTGTTCCTCTGCCTCTAGCTATCTCGGGTTTTTTTATCTGTGTGTCTCTTTGTCTCTCTATCTACCCCGCTTCCTGACTATCTCTCCATCTGTCTCTGTCTCGTTCCTATTACATCTCCTTCACGTTATGTATTACACTAGTTGAGATAATAACACATCCTTTCCTGTAATTTATCCTTGTGTTTTATATATATCTCTCAAAGTGTTCCTTCGTCTCCTGATTTTTCCCTTCAGCACCAATGATGTCAAGGGAACAGGAGTGAGGGAGAGAGAGCCACGCCTCCTCTGTCTAGGATGAATTTTAAGTTCTTATCTCTCCACGATACATTATTGGTTAGGTTAGGTTAGGTTAGGATAACGTTTGGGTGCTTAATAATCAGAGGAAATAAACTGGGGTGCTTAATCTTCAGGTTTTATTTTAGTTTAGCCAGAATAGTTCAATCAAAAGTAAACAACAATCACTGGGGAGATTTAATGCTACAATTCTCTTCACCCAATCAACTCGTTCTAGGTAGTTCTTATATGTCCGTATGTAATTTCTCTACACAACACGGTATAAGCGGTGACTAGGATGTGTATAGAGTTCGGTAAGTCAGCTCGTTTAACATTGGTTTTATGATCTTTTAGCACCTCGCGACGGGCTCCCTCTGGTTCTCAACGCCCATCTTACGAGTCATGGACGCCCGCAGCAACCACATGGAGACAGTCGACGTGGATGTATTCAGGGGTAAGTCCACCTTCATCATCCTTCAGGAGACTCACGTGAGGCAGATAACTTCGAGAAACACACACACACACACACACACACACACACACACACACACACACACACACACACACACACACACACCAGCTGAATTCAATGAGAGTGCAAGCCGTCAGGAAACTCAAAACACCAGCCAGCTATCTAATAATCTCTTCATTTTTTTTCTATGTTTGACCGAGTTCCAGTCTAGACTAATACGAGACCAGACGATAAAATATAATAGCCGGGATATAATCACCCTGGGAATGAGATCGAGTGAGATTTGGTAAGCATAATGGTCGACATGACATTAATTTGTTTTTTCAGCTAGGTGGAGAAAAACTTGATTGTAAGTAGATAGTATTAACAAGGTTTCTCAATTTACGACATAAAACTACCACTTTTTATTCTCTTGTCTCGTGGGATTTAGTTACCAATTACAGACGTGGTGGAATTATTTTTCCCCTCATATTACGACCAAGGGCAGGTGGCAACTGGACTCAGGTAATTTTACAACAGGGATCTTTATTGAGGTTCAGATGTGATAGGATTCGTGACCTGAAGACAAAGTACATTAGCCTTGAAGAAAAAAATAATGTCACCAAATGGATTTTTTATCGTCTGGCCAGGTGTGTCATCCTCACCCAGGTAATTAACTCAGGTAGTTTATTGTTCTGTGTTGCTGGAGTAAAGTATTCCTCCATTTTGATCAGTTTACAAGACAGGTTTCATATTGTCTCTTATCTTGAAAAGAGAGAGAGAGAGAGAGAGAGAGAGAGAGAGAGAGAGAGAGAGAGAGAGAGAGAGAGAGAGCTGAAGGCAAAGCTAAAAAATCCTGAAATAAAACACTCTGAGTTCATTGAAAAAAAAGCCACTGATGAGAACTTAATTATTTCCTCTTGTCTAGTTCCTCACAATTTGGGAAAGTAAACGACCCCCCCCAGACATCTGTATACGTACACCTCTGAGCCTACGCTACCACCTTCACTTCCTCCAGTCTGTCACGGGACACATTAAACCCCAGACAGACCCTGACCCGCATCCTAACCTTGGATTTACTCATTAACTTTCCAGCCGTAAAAGTATGTGAAGTGATAATCTCACCTTTAGGTAACCATAGCTAATTAGACACGAGAGTGAAGGGGAAGAGAAGTACCCACTAGCCTCGACCTGGTCCGTTGCAGTGACGGCGTAAAGGGATAGAATCACTAAGAGGAGGTTGTCTTGGTAGGGAAGGACACACTGTAGCTTTACGTGAGATATGAACAGTTAAGAGTCATTAGAGGCTAGAGGGATAGGAGGCAGCAGCTATGACGTGTAGTAATAGTCACCTCCCACACGATAAAACCCGGACTATGAATTGACACCTTGTCTTGTACTTCTCCTTAGTCTGTACTCACCCCTGAAGATGTGGATTACACGAAAGCGCTTGGGAACTTCGTGGGTGAGTACAGACTAAGGAGAACTACAAAACAATATATATATATATATATATATATATATATATATATATATATATATATATATATATATATATATATATATATATATATATATATATATGTATATATATATATAGGAGGGTGAGATCAGGTCAGCAGCGGTCGGTAGTCAGGTCAGAGGGTAAGGTGACCCAACCTTCTCACCTGGTTACAAATCTTCTTAATTACAACATTGTCCAGTTTGTACATACCATTACTCAAATTCATGTTGACTGCTTCGGTATGTTTAAGGAGCCAACTCGTAACAATGGTTTTAAATTAGACAAATTTAGATTTAAGCGTGAAATAGGTAAACACTGGTTTGGAAACAGAGTAGTGGATGAATGGAACAAGTTACCAAATATCATCATTAACTCGAATACGCTGAATTGCTTCAAACATAGGTTGGATGCTTATATGAGCACTAGGGGTTGGGTGTAAACGGGACTGCCCAGTATGGGCCAATAGGCCCGCTGCAGCTTCCTCCATTCTTATGTTCTTATGTAACCTAACCTAACCTACCTCTACCAAAATATATATAATCTCTTACTACCACCACCGGATTAGATGTGAAATATCGTAAAGAGAGATTTTTTTTTTAGATTCTGGGTTTCTGGGGTAGGTTGAGTCAGACCAGATTAGATGTTGTCAAGGAGATAGATCGATCCATTATTGACTAACTCCGAGTAAACCGAGTCTTGGGTGTGTGGAGGTCTAGTGTGTGGTTGGGTGATTTATTTACGGAAAAAAAAAACACACACACACACACACACACACACACTGGATCAAAGTAGGTCACCGAAATGTTTTGGTAACTCCATCACTAAAGATCAGAGGTCAAGGTGGGTGAGCCAGTGGTCACAAACATGTCTTGCTTATTCTAATCTGTCTCAATTCTTACTGTTCCCACTTTTATCAGATATATGGTGTCTATGTCAATTTATTCAACAACATTTTCCACTAACCAAGATAACAACCAGCACACTCGCCCTCTGTCGCCCGAGTCATACCTGAGTGAATACAGACAATACTCCTGTTGTATATGACCACCCATGTATCCCCTACAGTGACGTCAGCCTCCTATCTAGGGTCTGGTGTTGTTGTCGTGGGCCTACCTCCTGTCTCTTCTGTTTGTGTCTTTATGATCAGTCCTTCATAGTTAAGGATCAGGCACTCTCTCTCTCTCTCTCTCTCCCACACACATAATCCCTCCCACACACACACACACTCATCCCCCCACACACACACATATATATATATTAGCTACAACAGATAGATGGATAAAGCCACACATACATATATATATAGAGAGACAGGAAAACACACACACTATCCCTCTTGTTCTCAGGTGTCGACTACAGCAGCAAGATCACCTTCGACTTCAACAAATTCCACCACATGTTACCTGAAGTCTTCGAGCCTATCCTGAAAAACGTCTCCACTAACTATGGTTACCTTAGCGTGATGGGTAAGTACAACCACAACTTCGACTATAAACTACAACCCACAACCTCAAGTATAATCATAATCACAATCCACAACCGCAAGTAAAATCATAATCACAATCCACAACCGCAAGCAAAATCATTATCACAATCCACAACCGCAAACATAATCATTATCACAATCCACAACCCGAAGCCACAACACACAACCAAGACCCACAACCACAACACCATCATAGTCCACAACCCCCACAACCACAACCACACTCCTAACAAAGGTAAAACGCATTCACAACCTGCAATAACAAACACGGTCACAAGTCTCAATGCAAAAGCAACAACTATTTACCACAACTATTTTCCGTATCTAGAATCTACAACTACAACATATAACCTCAACCACAACTCAGAGCCACAACACAGACAATAAAACCACCATTGCAATATACAGTACATCCACAAACGCAGTATATAACCAAACAAAATACAATCGCAATCACAACATACAACCGCAAATATTACCATACCATACAAATCACCACCTACAACCTAAAATACAACCCATATAACAACCACAAGAGGCAATCAACACAAAAAAACCATAACAGTCAGGACAAAAAAAAAAAATTACTGTTAATTTATTCTGATCTCTTTATCTAACCTGTCAAACGGCACAGCGATAAAATTAACAGACCGCTATATTAAGTAGGAATATGATGTTGCAGCCTAGGAGAGGTCGTTATCACATGCCATCTATGAGGAGTGGGCGGCGTACACGAGGAAATCTCTCTGTGGTGAAGTTTCTTATGTAAATTACACCACTACCTGTACCATTCATAACAAGCTTCGGACGTAACTTAATCGATAGAAGTAGGACTAATTATGAGTCAGACTCTTAAATCTGAAATTATGCTATGGTAAGGTAAGGTAAGGTAAGGTAGGTAAGGTAAGGTAAGGTAAGGTAAAGTCTTATTACCACTTAATTTTACCTCTACCATCATCATCATCATCATCATCATCATCACACTCATTATCACTACACCTTGAAACTGAAGAGCCAAATACCATCTACACTCCCCTCCCCTTCACAATCAACCAACGCCATTTCCATCAATATCCCATCTCGATTTTTTTTTTTGAGGGTGTATATACATTAACGTGTCTGTCATCGTTAAAACCCAATATATCAGTGGGGAAATAATAACAATCAACACAAACAATCAAGGTTTTTTTTTTTTTTTTAGAGGATGGTGTAGAACTTACGTAACTGAATGGTGGGGAAAGAACAGTAAGGATGAGAGGATGTTGTGTGTGTGCGTGTGTGTTTTCATTGTTGTTGTATGTTGAATAAGAGAAAAACACGAAATAACTGGTGTTGTTATTTTTTTTTCTTGTGTAAGGATGTGACAACTTCTTTTAATAAACATAGCGATGATGGACGATAGCCACCCCTCCGTATATAATTCATCATCATCATTATCATATTTCTACGCTCTACTTCCCGCTGGGCGCCTCTGAAATTTTAACAAGTCCGGAATTCCACCAAATAATGTGTACCTTTTCCCAATATTTCTGTAACTGCGTATGAGTCGGTCGATCACCAACAATGTTCACTATTAATGCGTTCTTCCTGTAATATAACCTGGCCAGCGACGTTTATATTTCCTGGACTTTTATATAACAGTTCCTTACTTAATTCACTCCCTGTTCCTCCGAATCCTACCTATATCTAAAAAAAATAGTACTGTGTATATCGTCCCATGAGTCTTTTCCCAGTTTTTTAATTATTTTTGCATTGAGTTCATAAGTCAAGAGTGAGTGTATTCATTTGTAAAATACTTCCATCACAAAGTTGTAAGTCTCCTGGCAGTAAATAACAGCTTTTCCACTCACTAAATACTGTAGAGTTTTACACCTGTGTACTGTACATCCTTTCATTTACAATTCAGTGGCTTGGGGGGTTTCTGTTTATTTATTTTACATTCAATCGCAGTATTCCTCAATTGCAAGTCAATATTGATAGCACATAGTGATCAATTATTCATCATTTTAAATAAAGGGTTGTATCAGGTTTTTCCACTATCAGAAAACGGGGGTTGCTTTTTTTTTAAGGCATATGCGCTATTTGCTTTCGAATACATGATAACTTTCTACACACACACACACACACACACACACACACACACACACACACACACACACACACACACACACTAAAAGACCCTTATTCACTCTCCCTCATTCTCCCCCCGGCAGGTACGAAGCTGGAGTGTGACTGTGACGTGTTGTGGATCATCAGTAACAAAGACTACGTTGATCACCTCTTCTACGCCAGGTGTACCAACCGCACCTACCTGGACGCGCTCGACGTCCAGGTGCTGACTGAACAGTGTAATACTACTATTTCCACTACTACTACTAGTCTTCCTCTGTTGGACTACGAACAGAAGGAAGAGGAGGAAGGAGAGAGAAGGAGAGAGTATGGCGGTATCTACGAGGGTGGAGATGTAGATTCTACTGAAGGAAATGAGAGTAACAGTATCTTTGGTATCTGTAACTGGTGGTTTTGGTAAGGATTGTGAGGGTCTGGAAGTGAGGATTGTGGTGGTATGGAAGTGAGGATTGTGATGGTCTGGAAGTGAGGATTGTGGTGATATGAAATTGAGGATTGTGATGGTAGGTAAGTGAGGATTGTGGTGGTTTTGGGCAAGCATTATAGCAATATGGAAGTGTAAAAAAGTGATGGTAATGGTATATATCAATAAAGAAAGAATTTCACTTCTTATTTTAATTTTCACAAGAGGAAAAATATTCTTGTAACGTGACAGTAAAAAAATTCATCATGGCAAACTACAACTGTTGTATCTCACTTGATATTAAAGAATACATCACCACTTATGTTATTAGTATTATTATTATTACCTTATATAAAAAAAACATTGATATTACCTTTAAATGCACACACAGAGAGGTAAAATTACAGCCAGTCTCAAGGGAATTAATGTATTAATGTATTCACTATTAACATTATCCTACACAAAATACAAACGTTTATAAGAGTTAATAATACAAATTAAAAATAAATCTAAATTTCATGAAAGTTTTGACGTAAAATACCAACCAACCATCAAACAAACTGAAGACAAATAGATCCCATCAACTGAGGACAGACAGACTGCAGTGACTTTAAAACACCTCAATTGCAATCATAATAAAAGGTTAACTCCGCCTGCATTCTGCTCTTCAACATCAGTTATACTTTATCTCTCCTGAAATGTGACTCAGTTTGTCCAGTCTTCTATCCCCCTTAACTGACGTATCAATGATTAATGAAATTCTGTTTGTAAATTTTAGCGGCATCGTTCAAACTGGAAATTCGATTTGAGATTTAATGGAATATTTCAAACTTCCCTTACCATCAAAAAATAAATATATAATACATTGAAAGAGTGTATGATTTGTTTTGTATAAAGAAACACTTAAACAATAGCGTGATGTATATATAATAAGATATATACTGTATATACATTTACTCTTAATATATTCATTCAATGTGAAGTGTAATTGTTTTTCCCCCTCCCTGGTGGGTGTATGAGGCGCCCTGAGTGTGTATACAACAGTGTGTATTATATGAAATGTCTTTACTTGTTGTGTATATATTTTCGTTAGGGCTTATGAAATTAGTTTGTTATTTATGATATTGTTAGATGTATTTATTATTATTATTATTATTATTATCATTATTATTATTATTATTATTATTATTATTATTATTATTATTATTATTACTGGTGCCTCTTCAGGATAATATTTCAATACATTTCCCAAAACTCAATGATAATAACACACATTACCTGAGGACCCAGGTGCCCTAACCCCTGTGATAGACCATAAACCCCTCAAGGTATTACCACTGGGAGCTCTAAATCAATTTCCGATCCCCCCCTAAATTTCATACCGCGACTCATCAGAGGTTATCATCTTGGGTAAGTTCCAATTCCAGACATTTGTGGCGTGACTACCACAAGCTGACCAGGAGTAAGAGTTTTTTACTTTTTCTGGGTGAAGTTAGTGGCTGTTCACACGACGCAGTAGCCTTGGTCAAATCTTGTGAAGGCTGGACCACACATTTTACTAACACAGTCTCCCCTTGAGTGTCTTTGTTTGGAGACCTCATGAACACATATTCTACATTTTCCAACAGTCTCGTGTATCAAGTGACCCTTGGACATGTCTGTATGTTTGTTTTGAACAAGTGATGAAATTTAAATATTAACAGATAATCATCAACCATTTCAAACAAATTAGTCCTCATTCTTGACATGAAAGATAATTAGTAAATCTTCAGCCAAAATAGCAAGACCAGAGTCACCAAAAACAGCACAAATTGGTTCGTTAAGGAAGAGGAAAGAGATGATTAGTGTTGGATATTCCATTGTGTATATTACTCATGCAGTTTACTTGGCTTAGCGTGGGCTGTACCGGGGCTAGTGCTGAAATGAATCTGCGTCAGTTCATGTAAATAAGAATTAGATGTGAGAGCCCCTTGTGTGTGTACCTTCATAAGTCATTCCGTGTGAGCGTCGCTCTTACTGTGTGCGTGTTTGGACAAGCATGCACACACATACACACACACACACACACACACACACACACACACACACACACACACACATACCCGCTACGCAACAACAAAATGTAATTGCTTTTTGAATTCACTGAGTAGTTCTGACGAAAAGATTGTAGGGTGTTTTGTCGTTTGAGAGAGAGAGAGAGAGAGAGAGAGAGAGAGAGTAATGCTCTAAGCTGCTGGACAACAAAACAGTATTCAAAGCTATTACAAAGTAAGGAGGGGTGTTGACTGTATGACTGTGTATAACTGTTGTCATGTGTATGTGTATGACTGTGTGTGTGTGTGTGTGTGTGTGTGTGTGTGTCTCCCTCTAACAACCAAGGTAACAAAAACGTAATACGTAAATAAATAAATAATCAAACCGTCATATTAAAAATAGCTACAAAATACTAAATAAAAATACAAAATAAAGAAATAATTAGGATCGTACATCTCTTTAATAAACATCTATGTCACTTTTGGAATATATCGACCCTAACAAGACCACGGCGTTTAATACCAAAGTGGGTCGTGAGGAACATACAATCTTAAGACCGTAAACTTGGTCCAAAATCTGGCTAAGTTTGAAGAGAAAAATTATTGGTATTATAACCGCATACAGGAAACGCCACGTTGTCAAGTCAGTCAGGGCGGTATCTTGCAACACATGGGTCCCAATAATTCAAATGTTGTTTACAATATTTTGGGATTTTGTAATTTATTTATTTTAGATGAATAACCTTCATTAGTGGGTATTTTATTATTACATATAAATAAATAATAATAATTGTAATTAATATTATGTTCATCGAGGTTATCAAGTCTCCCTAAGCCACGATCCGATACTCACCCTCTAGCCCCTGACAGACGGGTATTAACCATCATAAATTTTTAAAGACAGATCTCCTCTCCACGACACAACGATGACGGGAGGTCGTGGTTAGCCTCCCTATAGAGACATATGGTTCAATCTACGGGATAAAAAGGGATTTTCTGAGGCGTTGGTTGAAACTATGGGGGAAATAAATGACTTTCTGAATGGTTCCCAAGAGGGCCATTTCGCTTGAAGGTGTCTGTTGGACGGCAATGGCCAGATAGATGGATATTAAGTAGCTCTGTCTTGTGTGTGTGTGTGTGTGTGTGTGTGTGTGTGTGTGTGTGTGTGTGTGTGCTCATCTCAAAGATAGGATTCAGGGTAGAGTTTAATATGAATTATAGTCTAAGTTATATACCCATTCCCTTGCTTTACATATTTCTAAACAAGGTCTAAACAACATCAAAACAAGACCTAAACATCAAAACAAGACCTAAACAGCATCAAAACAAGACCTAAACACCAAAACAATACCTAAACAACATCAAAACAAGACCTAAACATCAAAACAAGACCTAAACATCAAAACAAGACCTAAACATCAAAACAAGACCTAAACATCAAAACAAGACCTAAACACCAAAACAAGGCCTAAACATCAAAACAAAACCTAAACATCAAAACAAGACCTAAACACCAAAACAATACCTAAACAACATCAAAACAAGACCTAAACATCAAAACAAGGCCTAAACATCAACAGAAGAACAAGAACCAAATCACCCTCAAAATATCACACAGCAGCTGAGATCACTTGGCAACCCCTTAACGTCACAGACAGACCAGTAATACTTTAAATTGTTCATACCATAAATAGATAAGGCCTTGACTACTCCACATCGCTTTGGCAACGGGTATTATTATTTTTTTTCCTAAGAACTACTAGACTGGATATGTGACATTTAGCCAGACAGATCTCGTAAACTCAAAAACATGTTGCCAAAAGGTGTTTCAATATCGTTTTTATTGAATCAGTAACAAGAGTATATGATTGTAGTATCTCGGTGCCCTCTTCCCCCCCACCCCCATGACCCCATTACTAAAGTTCAAGGTTAGAGTTCATTTGTGTGTGTGTGTGTATATTTACCTGATAGAGGAAAAGGAGTATGAAGGAGGGAAGAAAAGAGAAGAGAGAGATGGGAAAGGAGGATAGAGCGAAACAAAGAGGGAAAGAGATCAAGAAAATGCCAGAGAGAGAGAGAGAGAGAGAGAGACTTCGGACAACGTGTGTCAACCAAGGTCCCAGGTGGTCCACTTCTCCGACACCTGACTTGACCTGACCTCATCTCTCCTGATCCCCCCCACCCCCTCCACCATCTTCTAGTTACCTGTCATCGTGTCTATTGGCCTGAGGGGTCTATATACTGTAGCAGTGATAGGAAATGGTGAGGTGATACAAGACCCATACTATATAGTCTATAATGTTCATGATTAGGTTAGGTTAGGTTAGGTTAGGTTAGGTTGAGACGCTTTAAGAGTGAGTCTCATAGGACCTTCAACAAACGCAGCTTTCGGGAAAAGTTTTATTAACGTTGTTTAGTGGAATATCTAGCCGAGGGGAGGGGAGGGGAGGGGAGGGGAGGGAAGGGGAGGGGTGGTCTAAACGTTTTTTATTAATTCAAACACAATCAGACATAAAGTGAACGAGGTCATCACAACGGTAGAGTTTTGTTACGACCATAAAAATATTTATCTACAACGATTCATATTTGTATATAAACAAATTCCCGTTACAAATAATTAAAAATAAATAAATAAATATATGACTCTCTCTCTCTCTCTCTCTCTCTCTCTCTCTCTCTCTGTGACACCAATTCTCTTTAATGTTATATACAAACACTGGTCCACCACTGCACCCGTAACCCTATAAATATTTACTTGTGTTGTTATAGCCTTAACATCACCCCAGCTATGCATGACTATGACCCCATCAACACCCTTCTCCTTCCCCTCCAGCACCGTCACTACATAACTGCTTACCAGAGTCACCCCCTTCATGATACTCTCATAACACGACAGTCCCTGAACCCATACTTGTGCATAAACGTCATTTCTAGTCCCGTTATTTTCATTGTTATTGTTAATACTTTCAAAAAATAAAAGGAAAATTGGGCAAATATCATGGGAAAACAAATACCCGACAATCCTCTCGATATCTTGGTGCCAGGAGTGACCTTAACAAAGGATAATCTTCGTAATTCACATTGACACCAGCAGTACTTAACAAGCCAGACGCTACCTAGTTATCGGCCCCAAAGTTTTCTAACAGTTAGTGAACAATCTAAAGAAACATCTTATAAGAACTCTTTAATTAAATTACTTATATTTTTCTATATGGCACTAGAAATACAATTTTGCCTACATTCACGTCACTGTTCATGTACATTGGTTTTATGTCTAATTCTCTATCATTCTGAACCTCAGGCAATGGTTTTTAAAGTGCACGTTTTATAGAACACAACTATGAATACACATCAACTGATACAAAATTGGTCTAAAATTATAGTGGCTAGCAGCGGACCTTGATGGCTCAAACAGGCATACAGGTTTCACAAGTTAGCCACACCTATACCCGGGTTTTTATACCTCACACTTGTTCGAAAATTTGGCGTAACACACGCACACACACACACACACACACACACACATTATCAATAACTTGTAATAAACCAGTGTATTCACTCCCAGTAAATACTACTTCTTGCACTGTCACTATGTTGAAATGCCCTGTAGTTTGAGCGTTTCCCCATCTAGTTATTATATATCTTATTTATATCACTTATGTTATTTGTATATTATTTTGAATTTGAAACCCATTCCCCAATTATGTAACTATATTTTCAGCCTTCTGGCTGCCAAGCTCTTTCAATAAACCGTTAATTATTATTATTATTATTATTACTATTATTATTATTATTATTATTATTATTATTATTATTATTATTATTATTATTATTATTACACACACACTACTGTTTTTACAGACCCTTCGCGTCAACAAAATAGCGACATCTTTACCCACATGGTCAGGACACGACCATCCAAAAGAACCTTACCAGAAGTGGATAATGTGGTCCATGTCAAGGTTGTGGGGAGAGACGAACTACTAATATGGATGGTCTTGGGAGACCTGGTCAACATCTTCACACTCCCCCGAGCTTAACACACACGTCAACCCTCCAACTAAGAGAATATTTCGTAGAGACAATACAAGCAACTATCACCAAGGAACCGATAGATTTACTTCCTCGTCAAACTATTTTTTTATCCCAGGCACCATCAAGGTCTAACGCACCCTCTTTTATTTAACAGAATCTACCTCACAGCATCTGAGAGGGTGGAGGTGTCCTTAGTCTCTCGAGGCATCAGGATGGTAAAGGCGTAACCTAAAGACGACTTACTCCCCTCGGCTCCCCATCACCGTATAAGAACTGGTGTTAGGGAGGTGCTAGTCGTGGTACTTCCCTCGTATATACCAAAAATCAAGGCGTGAGATCGTAAATAAAAACCAGAGGATCACGATATATGAGGTAAGGATTATATAACCATATGTATACGGGATATAAAACCATAACGAGGGATCACCTGTAGAAATGTTGTATACCATGAAAAGTCGGATGGTCTCAAGGTCCCATTGTCTCTCTACTCCCTGTCTCTCCCTCTTTTTACTCACTCAGTCTCCTTTTCTTCTTTTATCTCTCTCTCTTACGCCCACGTACCATACCCCTTCTGCTCACACATTCTTGCTCTTCTCTTAAACATTCTTCCTACGTTCTTCTCCTACCACCACCTCTCACTTTATATCTCGACCGATGCTCACAATCCGGTTCCTAACCCACAAAACCAAAACTATTTTGCTGCTAATTTAACTTAATTTAACCCTTATTTATACAATTCACCCCAGCCTAACCTAACCTAACCTACCTTAACAAAACACACAATAATGATAAGAAAAATTTCGAAAAATTCTAAGGTACGATTTCTATAATTTGTTTACACCCTTCAATGTATCGTAAGTTTAAATGAGAATATTAAGCTGTCTTACCTGGCAGATACCATTAGAACCTGCCAAATTACTTAAGGTATTTTTTTTTCTTTGTGTTAAAACGAGACATTGGGAGAGTTTGTGGTGATTCGGAGAGCGTGGTGGGCGACATTATCACAGTTCCTGCCATTAAGCTTTACTACAGTTAGATCTGCTCCTCGGCGTCAGAGTGCCATAGCCGGGTTATAACATTTGCATAACAATTAACTTAATCGTAGCCAAAGTCGTTCTGGAATATGATATGTGTTGTATAATGTTTAGTGTCGCTTCTGCTGCCGTGGTGATCACTTTTTTTTTCTTACTCTCAAGACAAAGGTGTGTGTGTGTGTGTGTGTGTGTGTGTGTGTGTGTGTGTGTGTGTGTGTGTGTGGTATTTTTCCTTCTCTGAGTATGTACTTTGACATTGGCTTATTTCAATACGTCGATATGTAGTGTCGGACAGTGAAATGTACGTGTTAACAGCTGGTCCGTATCTTTACCAAGGACAGGCCAGAACAGATAGAGGTTGTGGACTCATGGAAGCTCAAGGTCAACCTCCAGTAAGAGATTAGTCCCCACACTTCCATCACAAAATAATAATCTAACTTACGATCTTTTCAGAATGTGGACCCATGACATAATACGAATGAGCTTTATGATGTTACTTAGTTTTTGTCGGACTCAAAACAGCAACCACGATTTTTTTTTTTTAGTTTCAGGAAATAGAAGAAAAAAGATCACAGGTGTATTAGGACAATGAACTATCAATTCGGTAATTCGTCAATACTTTCTAGGTAAATATAACTGGTACGGGCAGGTGTGTTGGCTGTCCTCTGGGTATATATTGACGATTTTCATGAACTTTTATACCAATTTAAACCTTCATTTCTGTTGTTTGTAAGTGAGCCCTTTTCTCTCTTCATCTTCACCCTCTCGTGACTGACAGTACAGTATGTGTACCACTGACAGACTCTTAGATGGAACAATACTTTATCTTGGTATACATGATGGATGATAGAGAATCTGTTGTGGTTTTACAGTAAATAACACGAAGGGAAGATCAAGCCACATATTTTTAACAAGCGCTCAACCGAGACTCAGTAATCGAGTGAAACAATTTCGTGGTTCACTGACAGAGGCTAAAACATAATCTAACTTTTCCTTTTAATCTAATTCTTGTAACATTAATAGATCTTCAGTGATGGATTTACTCTGATTAGTTATTGAACAACCCTCGTAAATAAGGACGGGTGGGCGGACCGGTGTGGATCACTGTATGCTCCTCTGGGTGTGAGGTGGGTGAGGCAGGGATGATAAAAAGTTCAAGAACATACGGGTAATGAAGACAGACCTGATTCCTTAACACATGGCCTGGTGACGTTTCTGATGTGATCTCTGTGGCTGGTGCATTAGTAAAGCCGCGATGCTTAAACAAGTTTCTAAGGTTTCATCTTCGTAACTTTCATTCCAATTGGAGAACAAAGTGTCTGGCGTATAGGCGTACAGAATTATTCAAACAGTTACGAAAAGTAACCCACGTGCGTATTGCGGATGGAATACACACTAAATAATAGAGAAACCCGTCAATTTTTTTTCTTTTATTACAGAGTTAGAGCTACAGACCTTCACTGAGAGCATCATTTTCACACAGGAAATATAGATTCGATATTCCATTTCATCCCAGACACTTACCAGCATGTCTCTGGTGATTAACGTGACTGCTTCAGTGATCTTTCGTTACAGTTCAGCAATGTCCTCTGGCAGTGGTGGGCCAACACAGTATCTTTCACACATCCTCACTGGAAGAAGTCGTATGCTGTTAAGTCTGGTGATCTCGGGGGCCAGGACAACCATGTTGCATCCTCCTGAGTACCACACCCCTTCCACGCACCGCAATGGTCGTGTTTTACTGAGATGTTCTCGCACACGCCTATAAACTGCGAGGGACCACCATCTAACTGTATGATTAAATCATGGGATTTCTCGAAGGGACGCAATTTTAACTGCAACAGCGCCTCTGGTGTTAAGAATGAAAATTATCTTCTGGCGACAATTCAAGAACAACACTTGACGGGTCCTCTATTATTTACTATATATTCCATCCTCAGTACACACATGTGTTTTTTTACTGTTAACAAGTGTTTGCTTTGATAAGAGGACTCACACAGCCAAGCAGGACATCATCCCCCAGCACTTGATAACTTAACCTGAACTGTACATGGAGATCCTCTTAAACCTGTAGCATCACACCACGTCGTGAATACAATCCAGAAACCGATGATTATAGGCGTGTGATTAATTCCTGAATTGATAGACGGACGGACAGATGAACGACAGAAAAACACAAAATAAGAATTAAGAATCGTGGATGGAACCTATTGCTCTAATCCCCCTGGCTATGAACACAACCCTCCCTATGTGGATGTTTGTCAATCTCTCTCTCTCTCTCTCTCCTCTGGGGTGATCTCCTACGAAGGCCACAACCAAGACCACACCCTCACCTCTAGTAAACCGTAACATCCCCCCCCCCAAAAAAAAATAATGATAAATAAAAAATTCCTTTTCCTCTACCTCACCTCCCTTAATAATAACTCATAAAACAGCGAAATTGAAAATATAATAACAACAAATTAAGATAATCACCACACAAAGCCCTCATTTGGAGCTTAAATGGTGTGTAATTATAGACGATGTGAGGTAATTGGTGGAGACATGGTGAAGTAAATGAAGTAGGACGATAGGTGAGAGGAGCAGCGATGGTCAAGGTTAGAAACAGGTAGAGGATGACGTTATTATTATTATTATTATTATTATTATTATTATTATTATTATTATTATTATTATTATTATTATTATTATTATTATTATTATTATTATTATTATTATTATTATTTTGTCTTTTAGCGCCTTCCTAGTGTGATCTAAACTTGCATTCCCTAAAAAGACGAAGAGTGCGGGGAGATATGATAGAAGTATTCAAGTGGGTGAAAGGAATCAATAAAGGTGATATAGATAAAGTTCTTATAATATCCGAGCAGGATAGGACTCGGAACAACGGATTTAAGTTGGATAAGTTTAGGTTTAGGAGGGAGATAGGAAGGAACTGGTTTACAAATAGGGTGGTGGACGAGTGGAACAAGCTTAGCAACTTTGTACTAAGTGCTGGAACGCTGGAAAGTTTCAAAAGGAGGCTGGATAGATTCATGGATGGTAGAGAATGGTAGTAACTCTCGACAGGAGCTGCCAGGCACAGGCCAACCGGCCTATTGCAGACTCCTTATTTTCTTATGTTCTTATCTCTCTCTCTCTCTCTCTCTCTCTCTCTCTCTCTCTCTCTCTCTCAAATAAACACATCACATACAAGGTTCTACAAGGATTAAAAGATGGGCTACCCGATAACGGCACAGCTTAGGGATGTGAAATACTGACTTACGACTCAACACTCAGTAGGTCGCCCCAACACGCTGTCAGCCCGTCCACTATAAAACCCCTCTTAGCTCCACCCCTACCCCTCTTAGCCCCACCCCTACCTCTCTTAGCCCCACCCCTACCTTTCTTAGCCCCACCCCTACCTTTCTTAGCCCCACCCCTACCTTTCTTAGCCCTTTTTATCTCTCATAGCTCCTCCTCCTACGTACTTTATCTCTCTCGCTCTGCACACACAAAGCGTAACGATGATGTAAGGAAGTTAACATTGTGAGGTGGACTTAACATCGAATAATAGGAATTGTTACTCTATCTATCTATTCTTTTGGTGTTTTTTGGGATGACCTTTTATAAGTTATCTTAGAGAACCGGAGTAAGACAACCGAGATTCATTATAGTTCCAGACGGTATAATATGTCATAAGAGAAACAAACTATGGAATAAACAAACGCTGTAAAATACGATTTGATTAAACGTAATAAAAATTTCCCTTATGTTAAAAAATTAAATGATGTCTGACTAAATATGATGTTTAACCCTTTGAGGACGATGACTTAACCCTTTGAGGACGATGACTTAACCCTTTGAGGAAGATGATTTAACCCTTTGAGGACGATGGTTTAACCCTTTGAGGACGATGGTTTAACCCTTTAATATGGATTTCAGTTTCAGGTAAGAATAATTTAGAGTTTAAGACCAAGTCATTGTGAATTATTTATGGTCAATGTCGGAGGAGCTGCTGGTAAAATGGGCCCGAGATCTAGGAGAGTCTGGTCCTTATACTGTAGACCTCAGTCATATTGTGAAAACGGCAGCTTCATTAGACACCACACTTAGTAACCCAAATCATAAGAATCTACACGCTAACGAAACCTGACCATTAGGATTGCAGTCCCATGTAGTGATAAGGTGGGGTTAGGTTAGGACTTACTACGGCTTAGGGCTCCTATGCCCACTCATCGGGGAAGGGTCTTAACCATGTTACATGGAGGGAATGTATTACCTCACATAAACATGAATAGTCAGTCATTTAGAAGAGGGAGGTAGAAGGCGCCAGTTATCAATACCGTCGGGAAGCGG